AAAAAAAAAAAAAACCCACAATATCTGGGGAAGGAGGAATGAGAGAAAAGAGTAAGAGTAAAAGCATAGTGAAGAAATAATGGGGGAACTGTAAAAGGAAAAATGAGGGATGGGAAGAGCCTAAAGAAGGGAAACAGGAAAAGGGAAGAGAAAACAAAACAAAAGAAGCAAGGAGGAAGATAAAAAGAATAATTTAAAAACAAAAACAAAACTGGGGGTGGGCGGGGCACAGCACCCAGGTTCTGTTAGGGCATAGACTGGGGTGGAATTCCTGCTGGTCAGGAAGGTGGGTGGAGATGGGGGATGGCCACACCCCTTTTCACCAAGAGGGTGTGGGGTATAAGAGTAGCAAGGGGAATACTGCACCTTTCCAGTCATCATCCTCCAGTGTGGTCTCCCATGTTATATCTGGTAAACAGAGCCCACTCTTGTGTAGCTGTTCAGGTAAGAATGCCACTTACGTATATCCAAAATGGCTGCACCCATTACCCATGAACATTAAAAATGGCTGTGCCCACAGGACAGCTGCTGGCAGTCCACAGGTCTGTCTGTCTCCTTTCCCGCCATTTTCCTTTCTGGTTGTCAGGCACTAGTACAGTCCTTGCCTTTGCAGTCCTCAGTGAGCAGAGCTGATTCTTAGGTTGTTATCGGTAAATATTCAAAACAACTGTGTCCCCAGGACAGCTGGCAGTCTGCCACTCCATTTGTCTCCTCACTCACTGTTTCATTCAGGTTCTTCAATGAGTTGGTATTTAATCCACTTCTTTATCCTTCTCTTCAAAGCTCGGTGTTTCAGGATCACCTTCTGTATCTATTTCAATTGGTTTCTCATTGCTTTCTTGCAGCGGGTCTGTGTAACTTGTCTGCCTGTTTCACCATCTTGCCAGAACTACTTCTTCATTCTCTCCATATGAATCAACATTTACTCAGTGAGGGAAAGTGCTGAGGACTGCCAAACATGCCTTTGTGCTTCCTATCCCTAGTCACAGCAGTGTTTCTCTATTTAGATTTATAATATGTTGTCAGCCTAAACCAAGAAAGTTTGATAACTGTTATTATTCTTTAATGTTGGTAAAAACATTTGCCTTCTGGAAAATACATTGCTATGCTAGTGTCATTGTTTCTATGTTAGATTTCTTGCTCATACTATACTCATTTTAGGGTTTGTTGGTTTTTATTGTCTATTAATTTGTTTTTGTATTTTAAAGACAGGTGTTTGGGTCACTTACTGTGAGTGAGTTTATGTGTATATTTAAAAAGCTTAGTTAAACTTATGTAACAATATAGTATTACTTTGATTTTCAGAATATATTAATAACTTACATTGGAATGGTCTTTGGTGGAGATTATATTTTCACATGGACAAACTTCATTGGTTTAAATATCAGGTAAGTAAATATATTTAAGTATGGCCACTTTGACAAGTGAGATTTGGGTATACAAATGCTGTCACACTAAGGTCGGGCTACTAATTTAATGGCACATTTGTTCATTTATTAAATATTTATTGACTGCTGACTATGTGCTAGGTAATGTCTGTACATAATGATTTTTAAGAAAAGAGGAGAATTCTCAGCACAGTATTAGGGTAGTCTTTTCTAGAAGTTGAGCTCCCTTTATTTAGCCTTCAGAGAGCAATCCTTTATTATCCTGGATGGCTGTGCAGTGTTTTCAAGAAAATTCAGAGCTAAAGAAGAATACTAGCTCTGTTAAAATTGCCATATGTGTGTATCTGACCTTGGGCATATTACTTCATTTCTTTAGACCTTTTCTTCGTTAATGCAGGAGTGAATTATATCATAGATGTTTTTCAGTTCTAGAATTTTCAGTGATACTTAAATGGTCTTAAAACCCCAATTTGTGGCTTGTTTTGCATTCTCTTAACAATCTCTTTTGAAAAGTGAAATTTTAAAATTTTGATGAAGTCCAGTTTATCAACTTTTCCTCTGTGAATTGTGCCTTTAAGAAATTTTTGCCTTAAATAAAGATTTTCTCTTAGAAGTTTTATAATTTTATGTTTTACCCAAACCAAAACTAAACACAGTGCTGTCGAGTCAAATCTGACTCACAGCGACCCCTTCTTGGGTTTCCAAGGCAGTATCACTATGGAAGTAGATTGCCCAACCTTCCTTCTGAGGAGTGGCTAGTGGGTTTGAACCACCAGCCTTCTGGTTAGCAGTCACATGCCTTAGGCACTATGCCACCACAGCTCCCTTAGGTTTTTTATATTGGATTAATGTTTTCATGTGATGTGAAGTCTGGATCAAGGTTCTCTTTTTGTTGTTTTTTGTTTTGTTAATAGAGATATTCATCCCAACACTTTTTGTTGAAAATTCTGTCCTCTTTCCACTGAATTGTCTAATTCCTATTACACTCTTCTAAGATTCTTTTATTATCACTGTTTTATAAGTGAGAAGCCTGAGGCTTAGAGAAGTTGAGTAACTTGAATGCATTATGAAGATATATATATATGAGCTGTTTCTGTATGTCATGCATTATGCTCTTAGAGAGACATGATTCATGACTCTCATAAATCTGCCAAGGTCACATAGCTAATAAATAATGGTGCAAGGATTTTAATCCTAATGGGGTGAACTCCAGAGTCCAAGTTCTTGCCCCATAATATGTTCTTGTTTTTAGTTGCAATCAAAGTTGACTTCGACTCATGGCAACCTTACGTATAACAGAAGGAGATGTTGCCTGGTCTTGTAGCGTCTTCATGATCTTTGGTGTATTTGAGTCCATTGTTGTGGCTATTGTGTAGCGCATTTTAACCGAGGGGGATTGTCTTCCAGCACTGTATTGGACAATATTCTGTTGTGATATATAGTTTTCATTGGCTAACTTTCAGAAGTATGTTGCCAGGTCTCCTTTCCTAGTCTGTCTTAGCCTCTACTGAAACCTGTTTACCATGGGTGATCCTGCTGTTATTTGAAATACTGGTGGTGTAATTTCCAGTGTCATTGCAGCATATGAGCCACCACAGTATAACAAACTGACAGGGAGGTGGTGGCTTAATATGTTATCATTCAATAAATGACTGAATGAGTATAATGTAGCCTAAAAAAAAAAAAAAAAAAAACTCACTGCTGTTGAGTCGGATGCAACTCATAGCGACCCCTCCTTGGGTTTCTGAGGCAGTAGTAGATTGCCCAATTTTCCTTCTGATAATGTAACCTGTTGTTGTTGTTATATGCCAGTGAGTCAGACTTGACTCATAGCGACCCCTCCTTGGGTTTCCAAGGTGGTATCACTATGGAAGTAGATTGCCCAACCTTCCTTGGAGTGGCTGGTGGGTTTGAACCGCCAGCCTTCTGGTTAGCAGACAAGTGCCTTAGGCACTATGCTACCAGAGCTCCTGATAATGTAGCCTAGTAACCTAGTAACTTATATATCCATTGCTACTTTTAGATTACCAGCTATTTGTGTGGCAGGAATCATTTGTCTTATTTATCATTGTGCCCGACCCATAATAGACATTCATAGTAATAATAATAATAAAATACTAGCCAATGTTTTTTTATGCTTACTTTATGTCAGGAATTGTCCTAAGTACTCTATACTTAATCTTCACAACAACCCTGGGGTAGGTATTGTGGATATTCTGTTTCGCAGAGAGGTTAAGAAATTTGCCCCATACCTAGAAGGTAAATAAATGGTTGGTCCATGATTTGTCTTCTTAGCCTACATTCTTAACCATAGTGCTGTCTAATAAATGGTGAAGAGATGACTTAATTTATTTTTATATCCCTTCATGATACATCATTATACAGGTTATATACTCTTCAGTCAGCCTTCCTGTGTAACAAAAACTATTATACTGTAACCTCTGAGGCCAAGCTAGGATGCATACGCAGTCTCTGTCATGGGAATGGTGCAGCTCAGAGTCTAGCTCTAGAGTTGATTCCTGAGGATTTGAGTCTAGCTCCCTCTGCCTACCCACCTGAGCCCATGAGTTCCTCATTTAGAACTCCTTTGCCTATTTCCTTACAAGTGTGTGTTGCTTCTTAGTTCCAATCGGCTTTTCCTTCTGAATAATTCCATCTTTTTGTCTAGGTAAAAGTTTTGCTCACATTTTCTGCACTAGTAGACTCTCTTGTTAGTCTTTTCTTGAAGTAAAGACCTAAGCTTTTCCTTTCACCCATGGTTCTTTCACTGAGAAAGAGAGAGAAGGAAATGTTTTGTTTTCAGGTATTTGTTCTTAATATAGTACCTACCAGGCTATTTACACAGTATACAACTGGCATTCACTGGAATAACTTGTACTTTTGAATTGAACATAGGTTAGCTAGCTCCTTAATTACATCCTAATTATGGCAGAAGAGCACTGGACTGCCTTCCGTTGCTCATAATTAAACCAGTACCAGCCGCCAATGATTCAATTCCACTGGCAACTCCATGTGTGTCAGAGTAGAACTGTGCCCCATAGGGTTATCAGTGGCTTATTTTTAAGAAATAGATTCCCAGACCATTCTTCCAAGTCATCTCGAGGTGCAAACTGCCAGCCTTTTATCTAGTAGCCAAGTACTCAAATGTTTGCACCTCCCAGGGACTCCACTAGCTATCTAGAATTCAACTTTTCATGATTTTAGTTTTTCTGTGTATAAAGTGCAATGTTTGCATTAGAATTGTCTATCCTAATTCTGCCATTAAACTTCTCTGATTTATCCCAAGAAAGTTCTGTAGAAAGTATATCATATGGTCATTAGGTCTGAAGTTATTTTGTGGGAGACGTATGACGTTTGAAGGAATTTCCTTCAGGTGTGGAAAATACATAAAATGTGTTTCTCCTTTTAGTTCTCCTCCACCCACAGTTTAGGGTTTTTTAAGCACAGAAAATAAGAAGGAGCTCAAAGGAAGGGGGAAAAAATGATGGGAATACGTGAGTAATTTGGACTCAGCCCAAAGTTGGGGAAATAGTATAGATGTTAAGAAAGAAGACAAAGAACTGTTTCCAGATGTGTAAGAGCATTCCTTCAAAATACTTAAACAGTAAGACCATGTAGGAAAGAACTTTTGGGGCTTATATTCTTTTTTCCTTACCTTTTCTCTAGATCAGTCTTTGAAAAAAAAAAAAATTCATGTGTTTACCTTGGCCTTGCCAGAATTCTGATCTTAAAGTTTTTACCTGACTCATGTAAATTAATAAAGCAAATAAAGTTCTTGTCAAGGGCATTGAGTTCCAAAGAATGTCATCACAGGATTTGGAGCCATGTTTTTATTTTCCCCCCAAATGTACTCCTAGGAAACCTCCTAAGCCTCGTAGGCAGATGGAATGGTTCATATCCTGGCCAGGTTTCTATGACTAATCTACTTTTATTTTTAAAATATGTGCACAGACCAAGCACTTACTGTAATGTAAAGATACATGAATAAATATCTGGGAAGACAACAGGCAGGGTTCTAATGTTTATGGAGTACATAGTGTGTCATGTCATTTTATAATGTCATCTCATTTAGTCATCCCGCAATTCATGTGATAACAACATTGAGGCTCAGAGAGGTGAAACAATTTATGCAAGGTCACACAGCTACCACAATAAGCAGAACTAAGATTCTAACCCTGATAAGACTAAACCTGTCCTGTGACATGAGCTCTTCTTTGCTAGTATCTTATGAGGGCCTTATTAGGGCACACGGGATAAGAGATTACAATGGTCCCTCTTTGAACATTTCTAAAGTCTCCTTTCTTACCACCTGCTTTCCATTAATTTGTCTTTATTCTCCTGTCTCTCTTGATAGGCAGGGTGAGAATCAGAGCTATTAAACCCATTCTGTATATATATTAAAGGAAGTGGACTACTTAGTGCATAACAAAGCCATAAACTAATTTCTGTTTTCAGGAAGAATCTAGCTGGGAAGATTAATTGTATGGTAGGTGCCTGCCATGTGCCAGACATTGTTTCAGGCAGTGAGGATAAAGCTGCTGTCAAAACCCTTGCCCTCATGGTGGTTTCCTTCAAATAGAGGAGATAGAAAATAAATGAATGAAGTATTTGCTATGTTAGTGATAAAGAGGACAGGGAAAAAGAGGATAGGAAGTATTACAGGTAGGTAGTGCACTTACTGGAAAATTATATTTTGTGAAAAAACCTAAAAGAGTTGACCAAATGAAACACATTGATTTCTGGAGGGAAGAGCAAGTGGAAGGACCTTGAAGTAGGGCTGTGTCTGGCATATTCAAGAACAACAAGAAGGTCAGTGTGACTGGAGTGAAATGTGATGGGACCATGGAGATAACAGGGTGGGGAGAAGATTAGGCAGGACTTTTTGACCATTATAAAATGGAGAGAGAGAGAGACAGAGACAGAGAGGTGATACTGTAGGAAGACATTCTCAGAGTTACTAGTTGTTGTGTTGTTAGGTGCCATTGAGGCAGTTCCAACTC